GGGGGGGGTGGTCGCCCCCCCCCCCCCCCCCCCCCCCCCGTGTAGCAACAGAAGAAACCGCGTGTCAGAATTTGTGACCGAGAGGATTGTTTAGAAAAGCTGGACATGCACAAGTCCATGAGGCTGGATCTAAAGCATCTGTGGGTACTGAGAGAGTTGGATGATGCGATGGCAGAGCCACTGACTGTTATCTTTGTAAAAGATGGGCACCACATTTGCCTTTTCCCAGTTGTCCAGGACCTCCCCTTATTGTTTCAAAGGGAAGATGTTGAATCCATGGAACTATAGACCAGTCAGCCTCACCTTAGTTCCTAGAAAAAGCAGGGAGCAGGTCCTCAAAGAATCCATTCTGCTTGGAGGAGAGGCAAGTGGTCAGGAACAGTCAACGTGGTTTCACCAAGGGCAAGTCATGCTTGACCACACTAATTGCCTCTTATTTTGAGAACTGGCAATGGGGATGTCAGGAAAGCAATGGATGTGATACACCTTGACTTTAGCAAAGCTTTTGCTATAGTCTCCCACAGTATTCTTGATAGGAAGTTAAAGAAGTATGGCTTGGATGAATGGACTAGAAGGTGGATAGGAAGTTGGCTAAACCATTGGGCTGAAAAGGTAGTGATGAATGGTTAGCTGTCTAGTTGGCACCCAATGTTAATGGAGTGCCCCTGGGATTGTCTTGGGGGTGGTTTTATTCAACATCTTCATGAGTGATTGGGATGAGGAGATGGATTACACCCCCAGCAAGTTCACACATGGCACTAAGCCGGGGCAGAGGTAGAGATGCTGGAGAATAGGAATAGAGTCAAAAGTGACCTACATCAATTGGAGGATTGGGCCAAAAGAAATCTTGCCTAGCAACAGCAAGCGCAGAGTCCTACACTTCGGACAGAAGAATCACGTGCACTGTCACAGGCTGGGGACTGCCTGGCTAAGCAGCACTTCTACAGAAAAGCACCTGGGGATTTCAGTGGATGAAAAGATGAATATGGAGACCCACGCGCAGGCAGGTGCAAAAAATGCAGGCCCACACGCAGGCAGGTGCGAAGGGTGTGAATGCACACTCCCCCCTTGTGGTACCCCAGGCAAATGTACTCTGGCCAGCTTGGGGAAAGCAGGAGTGGTGCACTGCCCAAGCTTCCCTCCCCCATGCTCCAGCCAGACAAGGGAAGGTTGGGGGCTGATTTCCCCCACCCTTTAGGAGCAAAACCCAGCCCCAGTCTTGTTCCTGGGAAAGGAGGGGGAATCAGCCCGCCTTCCCCTGGGCGGGCGGGCAGAGCATGGGGGAGGGAGGCTCAGGCCGCATGCCAATCCTGCCTTCCCCTGGCCAGCTGGAGCATGCTTACTTGCACCCATGCAGTCCACATTTACAAAAAAAAGCACACACACACCCATAGAAATTCCTGTTTACAGGTCTATACCATGTTATAAGCTAGTGTAAGAAACACTTGCGCTCCAATCAGTGGCCCAGCTAGCTTGCATTTAACTCAAGTAAGAGATTTTTGTGTGGGGAAGGGTGTCTGGGTAGGGGCAACATTCAAGTTTTACTTTGAGTTAATCCTGCAATGAAGGCCAGCCGGAAGGGCGCTGTTCTCTGGCAAAGTAGGACAGGCATTTGTAGCAGAGTAGGAACAGATCTGCTGCTGAGGAAAAATACTAGAGCTGAGAGTTTGCAAGGAAGAGGAATAAAGTCCCATCATCACTAGGGATGTAACAGCCCGATTAATCAGTTAACTGATTAATTAGCATTTAACCAGTTAACTGACTAGAGGAGTCTCAACCAGAGCCGTAACAAGGGTGGGGCAAGTGGGTCACTAGCCCCAGGCGCAGTACATTTAGGGGTGCAAAATTAAAAATTAGAAAGTTAAAATATTATTTAATTTATATCTTTACTGTCATCTATTTGCAATCTCAATATATGTGCAATTAACAACATGGCTGTGTCAAGACTGGCAAGTTTTTCCGCAAAAGCAGCTGCTTTTGTGGAAAAACTTGCTAGCAGTCTACACTGGCCGCTTGAATTTCCGCAAGAACACTGACTTCCTACTGTCTGAAATCAGTGCTTCGTGCAGAAATACTATGCTGCTCCCCGTTCGGGCAAAAGGGCCAGTGTAGACAGCTCAGATTTGTTTTGCGCAAAAAAGCCCTGATCGTGAAAAGTGCTTTTGCGGAAAAGTGTCCACGCCAATCTAGACGCTCTTTTCCACAAATGCTTTTAACGGAAACCTTTTCCATTAAAATCATTTGCGGAAAATCATCCCAGTCTAGATGCAGCCCACGTGTACTGAATAAAATTAATACAATTGTTATTTTTTTGTATCCTTTTTTGGGGCAGCAGGGGAGGGGGAATTCAAAATAGTCCTGCAATGAATGTGCATAAGAGAGGTTAATGACAAATTTGAGTGGAAACCGTGATTGGTGACATACTTATCGTGTACAGTGAAAGGTTTTCTAGAAATTACCTGCTGGGAGCATGGAGGGCAATAGGCCAGTTCCTGTAAGAAACTGCAAGTTACTTTCACCGCTGCTCCGGGCTCCCCGTTCTCACATCTCCCTGCATCGGTGGCAGACTCCAGCTGTGAGAGGAAGGATCCTCCCTGCAGCAGCGGTGGCCCTGCTGTCCCCACACCTGGCAGCAGCCCCGGGCTGCCCCTTTTTTCCCGGGACGCGCTCAGGGTCCCCCTGAACAGCTGCGGGTTCTACTCCAAGCGGCGGGCCTGGGCCTGGGCCTGAGCCATC